ATTGCAGCCAAATTTGAACCAACAATATCTTTTTCCATCATCCATAGTGACATTTGGGGCCCTCTCCTATCAAAAGTATTTCTGGGTATAAGGGTTTGTGCCTTTTATAGATGATTACTCTAGGACAACATGGGTATTCTTAATGAGAGAAAAGTCTGAGGTTAAGTCTCTTTAAAAGTTTTTATCAAAAAGTTGAAACCCAATTGACACAAAATAAAAATTCTGAGAGTGACAATGGGAGTGAGTATTTGAATAAAACTCTTGGGTATTTCTTTAAGGAAAAGGCATTGTTCACCTTACGTCTTGTGTCAACACACCTCAACAAAACGGCAGAAAGGAAAAAAACAGCTTCTAGAGGTTACTAGGTCTCTTCTGTTTGCTGTTAATGCTCTAAGTATCTTTGGGGAGAAGCTCTTCTTACAGCCACGTACCTCTCAATAGAATGTCAAGTAAGACTTTAGATTTCAAAATTCCTACTAAGGTTCTGTTTCAGCTTTTTCTCCATTTTAACATTTAAACTCAAGTCTTTCTCCTCGGGTCTGCACGGAAAACCAACCGACTGGCAGCCCACACGGTCCAGGTTTCAAAAGGAGGCCCATATTCCCTCTCAAGATGATTCCTCAAGCAGTTTTAGCAAGAAACAGATAGAGGAGCTGCAGCAGATTTTGAGCAGTATGACAACCAAGCCTACCAATGTGACTTATACTACTATTGATGGAAATAATCCATATGTTTTCTCGGTACAATGGATAATAGACTCGGATGCATCAGATCATATGACAGGAAATATTGATCTCTTGGAGGAATATAATGAAAGCAGCTTACCAGCTTCTATCAAATAGCATATGACTCTCTCACTACAGTTAAAGAGAGTGGTCTGTTACATTAAACAAAAATCTAATACTTCATAATGTCTTCTATGTTCCTAGACTTGCATGCAATCTGCTGTCAGTCAGCAAATTAATTAAAAATTCTGGTTGTAATGTTGTGTTTGGTACTGGTGGTTGCATTTTTCAGGCACAGGACTCGAAGAGGGTGATTGGCAGTGCTAGGCTGGGCAAAGGATTGTACACCCTTGGAGGTAAAGCATCTCATAATCATGCCTTATCCAGTGCTCTTAGGAAACCAATTTTATCTTCTGATCTCAATACCGATAAAATTATGTTATGGCACTCTAGATTAGGTCATCCTAATTTTTACTCTCTTTCCAAAATGTTATTGAATTTATTTATAAATAAAGATCCATCTTTGTTTTCCTGTGAAATTTGTCAAATAGCCAAACACACCAGAAAACCATATATTGCAGCCAAATTTGAACCAACAATATCTTTTTCCATCATCCATAGTGACATTTGGGGCCCTTCTCCTGTCAAAAGTATTTCTGGGTATAAGTGGTTTGTTCCTTTTATAGATGATTACTCTAGGACAACATGGGTATTCTTAATGAGAGAAAAGTCTGAGGTTGAGTCTCTTTAAAAGTTTTTATCAAAAAGTTGAAACCCAATTTGACACAAAAATAAAAATTCTGAGGAGTGACAATGGGAGTGAGTATTTGAATAAAACTCTTGGGTATTTCTTTAAGGAAAAAGGCTAGGTCTCTTCTGTTGCTGTTAATGCTCCTAAGTATCTTTGGGGAAGCTCTTCTTACAGCCACGTACCTCATCAATAGAATGTCAAGTAAGACTTTAGATTCAAAATTCCTACTAAGGTTCTGTTTCAGCTTTTTCTCCATTTTAAACATTTAAACTCAAGTCTTTCTCCTCGGGTGTTTAGGTATAGCCTTTGTTCATATCCACAACAGAGGGAAATTAGATCCTAGGTCCATAAAGTGTGTGTTCTTGGGCTATTCTTCGAGTCAGAAGGGTTACAAGTGTTACTCACCTTCCACAAAAAAGACATAGTCTCCTTTGATGTACATTTTTTTAAAATCAACCTTATTTTTCGAGAACAGAAATTCAGGGGGAGTTACAAGGAATTTCAGCCTGTTCAAACCAATATTTCTTTACAGCCTATCCTTTCTTACCTATTACTGTCTCTCCAAAGCCGGCTAGCACAGTTCCTTCCTAGTGAGGGTGAGGATAACCTAAATACTGATGAATTAGCTTTCTCCTTACCTCATAACTCTAGTCCGTGCAAAACCCCTTCCACCACTACCAAAAATGCACCTAACAATGACCTTGAACATAACTCCCCATCCGAAACACTCAGTGTTTACTCAAGAAGAAGGAAAGATGTTGCTGAAGAATCAGTCAGCCTAGCATTTACCAATAACCAGATTCGGATCCTGTTGCATATGAACAGAAGGTAATGATGGTTCCAAGAGGCTACTATTGTTGATCTTGATGACTTTCCTATTGCTATTAGGAAGGGGGTAAGAAATACACTGCTCATCCATAAATAACTATGTTGCATATAGTAAATTACAGTCTAATTTCAAGGCCTTCACTGTCAGCATTAACAGTGTGAAAATCTAAGAATGTGACAGAAGCATTTCAATCTCCCGAGTGGAAAAAGGTTGTGGAAGAGGAGATAAAAGCATTGCAAAAGAATAAGACATGGAGTTTGATAGCTTTGCCAGAAGGGAAGAGAGCTGTGTGGTAGGTGGATATTCAAAGTCAAATCATTCGATGAGAGTGTGGAAAGTACAAGGCATGGCTGGTTGCTAAAGGTTTTTCTCAGTCTTATGGCATCGACTACCAGGAGACTTTGCACCGGTTGCAAAATTGAATACCATCAGAATATGTTATCAGTAGCTGTTAACATGGACTGGAATTGCATCATGGACATAAGAATGCTTTTCTGAATGAGAACCTTGAAGAAGTATACATGGAGGTCCCCCCCGGATTAGAAAGAAGGTCACTAAGAAAACTGTGTGCAAGCTCAATAAATCCTTATATGGCTTAAAACAGTCTCTTAGGGCTTGGTTGATCGATTTGCTAAGGCTATGACACATAATGGTTTCAAACAAAACCAAGCAAATCACACATTATTCAGAAAATTACACGAAGTGTAAGATAACCCTCCTAATTGTCTATGTAGATGATTATTATAACGGAAAGTGATATAGAAATAGAAAAGCTAAAGATGAATCTTGCAAAGGAGTTTGAAACCAAGGATTTAGGGAGTATGAGGTATTTCCTGGGTATGGAAGTTGCAAGGTCCGAAGAAGGGCTGGTCATAAACCAGCGTAAGTATGTTTTGGATCTTCTTGCAAAAACAATGATGCTCGACTGCAACCAGTTTGAAACTCCAATGGAGCCAGGCTTGAATTTTGCAAGGACCAGACTGGAAATCCAGTAAACAAGGAAACCTATCAAAGGTTAGTTGGGAAGTTGATCTACCTTTCACTGACCAGGCCTGATATTGCATACTCAGTGAGCATTGTCACCAACATATGAGTGATCCTCGAGAAGAACATTTGGAAGCTTTACAGAATTCTAAGGTTCTTGAAGTTTACCCCAGGAGCTGGACTTATATTTAGAAAAATCAAGACAGAACAGTAAAGGTTATACGGATGCAAGCTGGGAGGTGAATTAACTGATAGAAGTCAGTTAGTGGCTACTGTGCTACGTTTGGTAATTGGTGACTTGGAGAAGTAAGAAACAGCCGTTGTCTCTCGAAGTAATGTTGAGTCAGAGTTTAGAGCAATGGCTATCGGAATATGTTAAGGATGTGGATTAAAAGACTGCTCACAGAACTGGACTTAGATGACAAAAAATTTTGAGATTTTTAGTGACAATAAGAATTTTGAGATTTTTAGTGACAGTCAATCAGCTATGAGTATAGCAAAAAACCCAGTGCAGCATGATAGAACGAAACACATTGAGATAGACAGACATTTTATTTATGAGAAGGTCAAGAATGGAGTTGCACAACCGCAGTACATTCCGACGAAGAACAGCTTGCAGATATCTTCACCAAAGCCCTTCCACGGTGACTTTTGATGCTGTCATTCAAACTGAGTATATACAACATATATACATCAGTTTGAGGTGGAGTGTAGGAATTATAGAAATGAGCTGTCAAGAGATTCTGTAATTATTTTCTGTTTTTCAATCCCTTATTTCAAGGGATTACATCTCCTAGGATTAGTATCTTTCCTAACTTAGAATTTCCTAGTTTTAGAGGCATAATTTGTATATAATATGTAATATGTTTCTACTGAAAGGATGCAAGAATAAAATAACAGACTTGTTTGTTTCCTACAGTTTGTTTCCACTATACAATCTATTTTCTTTCTACAGTCTGTTTTCTACAGTGATAGCGACTCAGATGATTCTTGCGATACTGGGAAGTATAGAAAGGGAAGAACTCAGAGCCGTTCACCCCTAGATAAAAGAGAAGTCCACGGAAGAGAAGGAAGCGTAGCCTATCTCGCAGGTGGTTGGCTTGTGGTTTTGTTTGTCTTATTTTTATTGATCTTTAGAAATTTGACTTCTTAAGAATGTTGTATTCCGTACGTCGTAGTTCTTGTTTATGATCTGTGGAAATTTTAAATTTCTTTCTTGTTGTTTTAGCTGGTCTCCTAGAAACAAGAGAAGCAGGAGCAGGTCTCCCAGAAACCGGAGAAGCAGGAGCAGGTCTCCCAGTTTTTCTGCACGTATATGAATTCTGTGGTGAAAAGAAGAGACGAGTGAAGGGACATATGCCATTCTGTTTTGACTTCCGTCGAGCAAGTGCTACCGTGGAGTGTCTTGTCGTTATTTGCACCACGATTCTTGCAAGAGTTATGAATCAAGGTGGAAAGGAGCAAACATAGCATCTGGAGTTGCCTCATACTTCTAGTACTAATAATGCCCATGAAGAGATCAAGCGAGCTCTGAGAAAGAACAGATTCTGATGATGGAGGTGTTCATTATCAAGATATTCAATCCAATGAGTATAGCATGATTAAGTTTGATAGATCTAGAGATCGCCTGCCTCTTTATTTGAAACACACTTGTTAGAAAAGCAGGAAGGGCCTAATGCTGTTGGTTATGAAAATTGTCTAGAAGCAGCTGCAGAATCTCAACACCTGTCAACTATGATAGGTCATCAGTTGGCAAGATGGATACACTGAAGTTTTGTGCTAATGCTTCTCAGCAAGTACCTGCTTCTTCATTCAGCCCTTTAGATCCAGTGTGTCAAAATGCTAATTGCCAACCTCAACAATCAGATAATGTTGTCCCTGCGATAGAAGAAGAATAGTCGAAGGAAATTGAGGAAATAGAGATTAAGAAGAGAAGAAAAGGGATTCAAGAAAACTGAAAATTCATTCATTCATTTCATGCCTTCAGCCCTACCTAGAACATTGCTTATATATTTACATTGTACCAATCATTTACCAACTGGCAATACAGCTGTCTCTACAGTTAGATTCCCTTGCAGGTGCTGTTGGTTGCTGTTGGTGTGACTTCCTTCACTGCTGATAGTACCCCTTCCCTTAATAAAATCCCTAACCTCCCCTTAATTGAAATTCCTAACCCTATTTCCAATTTCCCTAATTCTCCTTCGTCTTCTCCGATTTCTATCTTTCTCATGATCATGACAATACCCCTCCATGAAGGATCCTTGTCCCCAAGGATCAAACTTAACAATTGTTCCTTGAGCACAATATTTACCCCAATGACGTTTTCCAACCTCAAGTTCGTCCACTGCAGCTGTTTGTACTTCTCCCAATGTTTGTCAAACTTCATAGAAGATTAGACCTTCAACTTTCCATTATGTCCCAACTTGGAAGGCTCCAATGAGGTAGTGTTGATCTCTAGATTTCTTTTTCAACCAACTATCATAATTCACTGTTTGCACCTTCGAGACTCATACAAGTTTATTGCTATTAACCCCATGCAATGTAAAACGATGCAGGTACCATAGACCCTTGCTGCTAGCCTTAATCCTTTTCGAAGAAAAAGTGAGATTTGATGGTAAGACCGAAACTTCAGGTAAATTCTGTCCTCTGTCTTTATACCTTTGTCTGTCAATTTTATTTTAGCAAAAAATTTCAGCTTTGCTTGAGTCTTCTGAAAAAATTTCAGATTCAAAAGTTGTTGTTTAAGTAACTGATTCCTGTTGCTTTCTTTGTTGACTTCTCATATAGTTATGACATTCCCCTTCCCTTGAAATGATCCTTGTCCCCAAGGATCAAACCCTTCTGACATCTCATTACTGATTTTCGCTTGCAATAACTGATATCTCCGCTTGAACTGTGCCAACTCTCGGAGAGCCTTCACCTTTTTATTTGTAACTTGAAGCAAATTTCTATGAAGTTCATCTATCTTTTTCTGAAGAGCTTCCTGCTGCGATAAAAGCAACAGTGCGGCCACCTTTTCTTGCAATGCCTGTGCAAGGGCATCTGAGGCATCACCTTTAGTCTCAGCAGTATTTAAATCTAGCATGCCCTTCTTTTCTTACAATGCCTTTGCAAGGGCTTCTGAGGCATTAAGCTTAGTCTCAGCAGTATTTGAATAGAGCAAATCCCTCTCTTTTACCTCATCTTCATCACCAAGTTCTAAATCTTCCTTGCTAATATCAACAAATTTATTTTCTTTGAAGGTCTGCAGATTTTTTATGGCAACCTCGTCTATAGGCTCAATTAAATAGAGAACCTCAATGTCTTTTTGAACCAACTTCTCCAAAAATGGAGCGGTCTTGGCACTTTTCAAGCTGTCAGTTGCCAAGTAATAAATGCCTTTTGATTCTCACTCATATTTTCAACATATGATCCGAACTCGTCAATTCCTCTTCACTTTTTGATGTGTAAACCAAAGTAATGAAGTTATACGTTTGTGATTACCAGTGTCTTCGATGCAGCCCAACTTTAGAAACCTGCCGAAGTTCTCCCATAATTTTTTGTAATCCTCTTTATTTTCACTTTCAAAAATCTCTTGAATCATGTCAAATGTTTTCCTGACACCCTTCACAAAGCTGGAGAAAGATCATTCGAGTCCACAACACCCTTCACAAAGCTCAAGTATCGTGAAACAGCTCCCTATCAAAATCATCCGAGATAAATCACGCTTCATATCAAACGTATTCTTTGTTTTAGAATTCGTGACATCCTAATTGTTGAGAGGGCCCATGCCAGGAATGTACAACACACTCCAAACTCGACCTCACCCTCTGTATATGGAAGTCAACCGAATTCTCGAAGCATAATTCCACTTCAAAAGACCTTCATTCCTCCAGCTTGTATCATAATAAGTGACGGTTTTATTACTCAATTCTTCTTGAACCTTCATTTGATTTTGAAGTTATTGTGCAAATTCCAACCTATTCCAATTTTTTGTTCCGTCCATGTAGAGGTTTAGCCCCTCGACATTGAACTCACATTTGATGAATTTATCAACACCACCTGTGAAAACTTGTCTGAACAGTTTGTCATTACTGTCATGATCTGTCCAATGCTGAAACGTTAGCTTTGACATTTTTTCAAACAGTTTATACCCTCTATTGTGAAGTATCCTAATATCATTGGCTATAAACTCATTGATAGAGTCACCATGTGCTGGTTTAGATTTTAGGATTTCGGATTCATTGTTCTATATGAAAATTGGGATTCATTCATCCCTGTCACTAACATAGGCTTCTTCCCATCAGTCTTAGGAAGGTTAAATAATTACCTGTTCTTTCTCTGAATTGGTTTGTTCTTGTTCCTCTGTCCTCCCAGTCAAAATCCTCAAAATTTGCTCCACTCAACCTTGATTCGTTGCCATCCTTAACTCTAGTTTACTGATCCGATTATCCTATTCTTCCCACCATTTAGGAGGTTTTGTGCCATCCATTGCTTGCTTCACCAGAGTTGTAAGTTCTGCAATCTGCTGCTGGATTGAAGAAAGATCAGGAGTTTCTACCATGGTTTGGTATTTTTCTAGGTATAGCAATGAACAAATTGCCAGGAAGAGTGGCTCTGAATACCAATTGTTATGTCCCTGCGATAGAAGAAGATATCGAAGGAAATTGAGGAATAGAGATTAAAGTAGAGAAAAAAGGGATTCAAGAAAACTGAAAATTCATTCATTCATTTCATGCCTTCAGCCCTACCTAGAACATTGCTTATATTTACATTGTACCAACTATTTCAGCTGGCAATATAGCTGTCTCTAACAGTTAGATTCCCTTGCAGGTGTTGTTGGTTGCTGTTGGCGTGACTTCCTTCACTGCTGGCAGTACCCCTCCCCTTAATTAAAATCCCTAACCTCCCCTTAATTGAAATCCCTAACCCTATTCCAATTTCCCTAATTCTCCTCCGTCTTCTCCGATTTCTCTCTTTCTCATGATCATGACAGATAACTCATCCATGTCTGATTCTTTACCGTGTAAAACATCAAAATCGTCGCTAGATATGCTTCCAGACAGTAATGCTCATCCACATGCAACGGAGCTACATAACCGTCCATGCCATATATCCTCCCCTTCTGTCCTATGCTCTTATGGTAAAGATAATGCACGTATGAAAGAGCAGCAAACTTCATCTTCCATGTTTCAATCTTCTGGGAAAAGCTTTCCTTCTTACATGTTACCTAGCCAAGAGTCTTACTTTGCTCTACAGCCAAATTCGTCTTTGACTTCCTTACCTCCACCTCCTCCACCATTAGTGGATTCAACTGTAACTCTCAGTGTTTCTTCACATTTTTGGCAGAGTTACTTTCCTCTGAGGAATGATTTTGGTTCCCAGATTCTCCAAAGACCTTATCTTTCTAAATTGCCTGCATGTTCTCAATCTGATGGGTTTCAACAGCGAGCTTATCCTCCAATACAGGATGTTAATCACCTATCTTGCAGGCTTCTTTACCTGTGTGTAACCTGCCTGGAGCTCCTAGTATGTCGAGAGATGATGGTTTAACACAAACCTCCAACGCAGAATTTTATTGCTTTAAACTCCTTTTCCCAGAGCAATATTCATCCTCATGCTCTGCCCTGTTCACAACAGAACAAATGCAACCACTTTCCTCTGAGAGTGCCACCAGGTGGTCTTTCTTACTCATCTTCATATATTAATCCCTATGCACAACAGCAACCACCACACAGTTCACACCACTCAACAATTGATGGTATTTATAATCTTGGTGGAAAGATGAATTCTTCATTAAAAAGTTCCACCAAATTTGGGGACACCCCACCCCACCGAGTTGACATTGGAGGATCAAGTAGTTCAATTCCTAATCCAAATGCATCGACTCTTCTTCAGCCAATGAATACCAATTATGATTTGATATTCTCCGGCAAGAAAAAGATATAGCCTACAATAGGACTCCTTTCAGTTTAGCTAACGATTCAGTTCATGAGAGAGGTATCGTATCTCAACAAGCAACATTGTCACCCAATTCTTCCAGGGCCTTTGGGCAGAATTTTCTTCGAGCAGGTTGACCAATATGATCCACTCGTTGATAGCATTGAACCATCTTCAAGTTTATCGAGAAAAACAATTGTATTCAAAGTTGAAAGTAACAGGTGACTGACATTTTGTTGGGGCTTAGTGGTTCCAACAAGCCACTGAATTTGGGGAAAAACAACCAGAGGAAAGATGCTGCAGCTGCTGCTTCTGTGGCATCTGCAGGGAAGGAGGAATTTGGAGAGACTGCTGATGGTGAAGTTGGGTCTGGTGAGAGTGGAAGCCCGAGTAATCCGGTTGAAGTTAACATGGCTACTAGTGAGGTTGAGACTGACCAGATAAAGTCTCCAGGGGAGAGCAAGAAGAGCAAAAGTTCCAGATCAATGAAGCATTTCAAGGTTGCCCTTGCACGTTTTGTGAAGGAGCTTTTAAAGCCATCATGGAAACAGGGTAATATGAGCAATGAGACATTTAAGACTATTGTGAAGAAGACTGTTGATAAGGTATCAGGAGCTATGAAGAGCCACCATGTGCCCAAATCTCGTGAAAAAATCGATCGTTACATCAAGTCATCTCAGCAGAAATTGACAAAACTTGTGATGGTAAATTCTCTTTTTGTTCCCTCCTTGCAGTAATTAGCATAACAGCGGCGTCAATTTTCAGGATTTTGTTCTTCCATTTTGTTTGTGTTTATTATGTTTCATTTTTGTTGGATTATTGTACTTTATGCTCTGAGAACCTATGCTTAGAATCAACCACAATCTTCCTTATAAGAACAAGTATTTTGCAATAGGGAGCACATAATAGTTTTTTATGAAAGCTAGCCTTCTAGTGAGAAAAGATTGCCGTTAGGATTGGCTAAAAGTGTAGCCTAGGCCCGACAGTAAGATATGGAGCTGGAACAAAAAAAAATAATATGAAGGGAAAAGTCAGAATCCCGATGAACCGATTCCCTTTTTTTCGAGCCGGTTCTGAGCTGGATCAGTGCATTGGGTTCAGTCAAATTTTAGCTATATTAGTTACAGTTTATTCTACGGTTGGTTCAAGAAATCAAGTTTGGGTTTTTCTTTCATGAATTTCACACAGCTTAAACTTTTGGTGGAAACATTGATTTGTAGACCGCCTTACATTTTCAGTTTGATATCATTATTTCCTCATCATTGCAGGGTTATGTTGATAAGTATGTTCATGTGTAAGATGGCATCGATGTTGATCCGAAACACTTCCATCAACAGGTGAGTTTTTTTCTTTCCGTTCCACTGCAACAGGTGGAAACATTCATTTTGTTGCAGTGGGTTGAGAAAAAGTCAATTTTCGAGTTGGTGGTGCTAAAAACTCGGTTTGTATAGTTTTGTAATGTTTGGATATTTTATGAAAAAAGGTGAAAATGACAAGATATGTTACGTTACACGAATTCGGATGTGTGCGTCCGATAAAAAATTGAGTCAAAGAAACATAAAAAATAATGTTGGCTGCCTGCATATCTTCAATCTTCTTTCATTGTTGGAACTCTGATAAAATTCATTCGCCAATTGTGTTGTTCATTAACTTTACATTTAAAAGGATAAACTATTAATGTCAAATCAATTAATAAATTATTATAGAAATTGGAGACATTGACTAAAATTATATCAAATTAATTAATTTAAATTATAAATTAACGAATTAAATTGCATAACCTTAATGATTAAGAGATTGTTATTATTTTTTAAAATTGAGTTTGAGCATCACGTATGTTAGAGTTATGAACGCTCAATGTTAAATGGTTAGTGTAAACACTATTTTTTCATTTTATTTATTATGTAAAATATATTATAATATTGTGGTGGATGGGATTATTAAAACCCCAAACTCTTGTAAAAGGAAGGCTTTTTCTCAAAAAATATGGACTGAAAAGAGGTTCTCTTTCACTTTCTTTTGGTTTACTCTTTTTTTTTTTTTTTTGGTTTTTGCTTCATTTTTTTGGGGTTCTCATGTTGCATAAGGTTGGCCATTGTTGAGTGGTGGTCGGCGTGCGAGAGAGAGGTCATCTCACGGCCATGAGACGTCGGTTGGTGGTCGTCGTTGAGGCTCGATTTTGAGCCCTCTCGATCGCCGGATGGGAGGAGAAATGGAGGAGAAAGAATGAGGTTAAGAGGAAAAGGGGAGGATTTTGGCTGATCAAGGGGTCCGGTCAGCTCTCCTCAGTCGTGGTCGAGGTCATTGGTTAGTTTAGGATGATCACCAGCCCGTTTCCAATGTGTGAGGGCCGGTGAGCGGCGACCAAAGCGTTTATGGAAGCTCTGGAAAGCTTCTGCCTGGCGTAAACATGAGGTTAATATTTTGTTTGTATGAAAATGGGTAAATCACTCACTAGGTCCCAATATTCTAGCTTTTTTTTGCTTTGTGTTTTAGGGTCAAATCGCAGTCCAGATCTTCCAGTTTCAACATGTTTACGTTTTGATCACTATCAGGGTAAAATCATCTTTAAGCTCATCATATTTTAATTTCTTTTGCACTCTGGTCATTAACTTTGTTATTTATTTATAATATGTATATTAATTTTATTAATTTTTGAATTTAGTCACTATTTTTTTGTTTATTCATTTTAGTCAGAGTTGGGATTTTGTTTCTTATGATTATGATGTGGATGTAATATTTATAATTTTCATTTTAGTCACTTTTTTTTATTTTGATTTGGCTATTATAATTTGTAATATTCTATTTTAGTCCCTAGTTGTGGTGTAATGTATTATACATTATATTTTGCTTGTAAAATATGTAATATGTATTTTAATTGATACATATGTTTTATATTTTAATATTTATAATTCCTGTGAATGTACAATTTTATTTTTTTTAACTTAGGTACTTTATTTTCTTTAGCACTTTAATTTTTGTAATATTTCATTTTAGTAATTATTTTTTTGCTTATTTAACATAATATTTATACTTTAAAGTATGCACTTGTCAATTTAGTCAATTTTATTTCCATCATTGAATAGCATTTAATTTTTATCTTTGCTTTAATTTTTATTTATTTATTTCTAATTAGTATTTTTAATTTATAACTTTTGCCATGTAAATTTGTTTGTGCATATAAATCTAAATTTCGAATATGTATGAAAGCTTTATAAGCATAACTTAATCGATTACAAATTGGATTAAGGGTAGTATTTATGTATTTTAAAATATTAAGAGGGACAGTCTTAAGACAAATTGATGTCCTTTTCCGATATTTTAAAATAAATAAATATCTCACTAGAAAAACTTAAAAATTGATTGCATTGAAAATTAATTAATTTTGAAGGAAAAAGTAAATATTCACTATTTTAAACTTATCGAGACAATTTGCTAATTTTATTAGGGATTAAGTCTCGATATTTTTTAAATTATTGAATATCCCTTATCTTTTCTAATAATATAATTTGGATTAATGAATTTAATTTCTTTCTTTGGTTGAATAAAATTTTAATTTGAATTCTTAGGAAAAAATTATATTCCTTTTATTTCAGTTGGAAAGAGAAATATTCGTCTTAAAGTATTTTAGGGAGTATTTTCTTTTGATAATTTCTCCTCACACACGACACTTGCATTGCATAGCATAAGCTCTATACCCGAGCTCTTCCTTTTAAGTGGGAGTGAAAGTGACGTCTTCGTGAGAATTTATTCTCTGTGTCAGACTTATCAAGTAGCTTTCGGGGTTCATATATCTTCGTGATGATTTATTCTCCGTGTCAGGCATAGGGAAATATGCCCTCTCGAATTGAACTCGATCCGCTTAAGCCTATAATGGGTGAGGATTGAGGGTCTGGCTCGCCCAATGGGGCACCGACAAGGATAATTTGAGTACCTTTACTCCTAGAACCGAAACTCTTCATATAGTCGACTGTAGAAACCCACCCGATCTAAGACCGTACTAAAACTCTGTCCATAGGTACCCATATAAGTGTACACAAAGGAGAATTGAACTCTAACATTTGTCTTTTAATTTATTTGATAGATATTGTTTTTAATAAATACATGTGAACTAGAAATTATGCGGATAGGATTTTAATTTCCTCTGTATGTTTTATTCACTATATTTTATGGTCCATTTATCAGTTGAATTTAATCTTTTCATATTTCACTAACACATATTTCTTCTTTTTTATTATTATTTTTGCTAACATCTTTTCCTTGTATCGTTGCTTTATTTTGTGCATAAGCATGCTGTTAATACCTGAGTTATTTATCAAAATTAGAAGGCTTTTAAAACAACAACGTCACACGAAGGGGTATATATTTTTATCTACTTTGACATATTGAGACGTTGTGTGTTCTTTGAAAGTTGTTCTAGGATAATTACCTTGGAATTAACACATGTTTTCATATATCATGACATACAAGGTATTGATTCCTGAGTTAATAGTCACATTAGAAGGCTTTCAATACGATAATGTCACTCTAAGAGGTAGAATAGAAGCAAAACGCATTAATGGTCCAGAAGGGTGCTCTAGGAAACAACTAAAGAGGTACATCAAGTTGGAATACTTGAAGCTCAAATGACGTAGCAAAACAAACTTTTCAAGGGTGCTACGATGATTTGATACAACTAGCCGAAGAAATAATATATTTGAGTCATCAAACAACAATGATAGCCAACACGAGATAATGGATGATGTCAATCGCATATGGTCGCTCAAGAAATACATTTCTGGAAAAGAAGTCGAAGAGTTGCAATTTTCCATCAACCCAAGGATAAAAGAATATTGTTTTCTTGCACATTCGATCAAAATTAAAGAAATCGAGCAATATGACGTGATTTGTAGTTTCCATCTATCTCGGTGTATTGAGACATTGTGTGTTCTTTGGAAGTTGTTTTATGACAATTACTTTGGGGATCAATTTCTTTGTTGCATTTTGCATTCCCATTTTGCATCTTTGCATTTGCATGAGCATATTTGCGTCTTTTCATTAGCATCTATACATAGTACATTGCATGATATACATTGCATTTCAACATGCATTAATCATGGGTCTTTGGAGTAACCTGCGAAATCTTTTGAGGTAAATTGAAGTCACCCCATTCGTACCTAGAAAAGGAGTTATGGACGTGATGTTATCATCATCTGAAGATCAAAGCACATCATTGAGATATGTGGGGCACCGAAGAGCAGGGTCTAGAATTTTTTGACCCATGGGTATTGACCTTTAACGTGTCATAAGACATCCCGTGCAGAGAACAAAAAAAGAAAAAAATTCTTTTACCCATTGTGAAACCATATTGCACTAGCATTGTCCTGTTTGAACGTGTTTTTGTTCTTTCTTTGTATTCTCAATAAATATTTTGTTAATTGAACTTAGGTAATTTTCCAAGGTTATGAGAAATAAATCAAGTTTTAATCTTGCAATTCTTTAAATATCGAATGAATTAAAGCTTTTTTTACTACTTCATTAATTATATATCTTTGACAAGGGCAATTAGACCTTCCATACCCCATCCAAAGCCGAAATAACCATTGATGGTTCCTTACCCGAAATAACACATTTACTCCTAAAAGATCGAACCTTGACATCACTTCTCTCTGAAACAATAAAGTCATGTCCTTATCCCCCGAGGCACCAAAACCTGTACTTTTACCTTCCCAGACAGAAATAATCTTTCCATGACATTACCTTTTTCAGAATAACGACTTTAAAGTCTCATATTTCCTTTCCTAAATACGGAACCAACATTCATTTCCCAACATCAATAAATTATGGGAGCATGACGAGAACCTTTCCTGCAAGAAGACAAGATGGAGTGTTGCAGATCAAGTTATTGCAAGAGATTCGAATAATTGGGGCATACTAGGGGCAAATGGAAGAAAAAAAATAAAGGGTATAATTGAAATAATTCTATCATGCATTAATTACATTTTTTCATGTAAATAAGATTAATCTTAAATACTAGTCCCCCTGGGGATACCTTTTTTATAAAGACTTCCATGTATGAGATGATGAACGACTTTGTTTCATTTATCCTTTCAAATATATATATATATATATATCTTGTTGTCCCCTTTTGAGCCTATAGTATTTTTTTCCGATTCAACCCTAACCAAGGATCACCCTCCACATTGGGGGCAAGATGAAGGAAATCTACTCGCATGAGTGAAGATCACCAATCTAGATTTCGTTACAGAGGCAAGTCACATGAAGAAATAACAAGATATCACAATGTGGACCAAATACGAAGCGATCAAAGATCAAATCGAGTTGACAACACAGAGAGAAAAAGAAGAGATATAAAAAACACACAAAAAAAGAAAGAAAAAAAACAAGAAAAACAGAAGAAAAAAAATAAAAAATAAAAAAAAAATAAAGAATAAATAGACAGATCAAACACTTCAAGACTAGTTGTTCAAAAATCTAGAATCAATTCACCAGAAGATCCTAAAACACCAA